CGACCCTGTACAGGGTTTCTGAGGGTGTAAATCTTTACAGGAGTAGAAAGCCTCATCTTTCTCCCGCAGAGCGGCTGGTAGTTTCAAACCACTGACCTTAAGGTTCACAGCCCGATTCATAACCACTACGCTACCAGAGCTCCTTTTGATTACATCCCAGTAAATCTTGCATTATGTTGTCTGTCTCCAAAAGCTGAGAAACACTTTAAACTAATGCTTCAACAACAAATGATTCTATAAAATCACTTGTTGACTGAAATAATGTTCCTGGTACATCCTGCAGCCATCCACTCAAAATCAGCATAATTATCTATATAATCAGAAAAACCTGACAAATCAATAAACTAGCAAAAACACAAAATTTTAACAGATATCAAATATGAATGGGTAAATTATCACAACCATTTTACTCAAAGTTCAAAAGTACTGCAGACCCACAACATACTAAGTCAGTTTTTGGTTGTTCCTCCCCCCAACCCTCCCCCCTGCAAGATTTGTAATTTGATCCTGTAGAATTCACATCATCCATCCAATTGGCCTGTGTAAATCTCTTTTCCTATGTTTGGTAACCAAGTGTTACAAAATTGACAAGAGTTAAAGATTACTTCAAATATCATCTATCATTTCTTATCCTATTTATCAAGACTCAGTCACGCTTAATTGTACTAAAAGAATACATAATTAAGTTTAAATTAGGTCATGGTAGTTCTGATCTCAGAAAATCTGGTGTGGCGCTGCAGGAATAAGCACTGGTCTGCAAACCACAAAGTTGACAGTTCAAATCCACCAGCTGCTCCTTGGAAACCCTATATAGGATCACTATAAGTTTGGAACCAACTCGATGGCACTTAACAACAAAAACAATACTCAAGTCCAGAAATGTGTATCATTCAAATATATATTTACAAACACCTAAAGACCCAAAGACCCAACTGCTTCAAGAAAATCAAAAGAATTATCAAGCTACCTTAGTCAAATCTGTTCGGCCACATCAAGTGAATTAGTTACCCAGTTTTCTGAAAAGAGTTCAAAATAATTGCTTATCAATAGTTTAAAATAAAAGACACGCTTAACCTATTAATAGAACAGTGATATGAATAAACCAAGTCATATGTGAACTTCACTTTCTATTATTACCTAGGCGTAATATATAATCTTGCAATCCGTCTTGGTAAACACAAATAAACAAGATGATAAAGTAAAACACATAAATTGAAGCAAACAAAATCCTAAACTGCCTAAATATTTCAAGAACTTACTGCGATTTCAGTAACTTGAAACTCCAAGTTTCAAAAAGCAGAAAGAATCACCACACGAATGTAAAAGTCAAGTATTTATACAGGTGCCTTAAAAGCCACTGTTGGGTGCACACCATCAGCACTGACATTTACTATCTGTTAAGTAGTTTCAAAGTGCAATGGCATAAATCAACTAGCTGGCTCGGGGTGTGAAGTTTATGACAACAGTTAGTATGTCTGGAAAGACTGTGAAGGTGTGATGCTTGTCATAACTTTCATCAAGAGCAACAGGCTGCCAGGCTGTGGGGCAAGATGTAACATCAGCACAGGTGCCTTTTCTCATTTCAGGAGGGAAACCTAAACCCATACCTTCATGGATAATTTAACAAGGATTGTTCCATAAATTTATAATGTCATTTATGTCTTTCTTATAATTGCTTTTTAATATCTTTCAAAACCAATATTCTTAGGGCAAAAGCAACTGATAATGTTAAATATGATACTATGTCAGCTTCAAATTGAGAAAAGGAGGGATGTTTATAATAGAAGCACAAAAAAAGGTTATACACCCCCCTAAGGCCACATTCCATTAAAAGCTGGGGGAAATGTTTCAGAAATGATCCAAGTCCAAATGCTACAATTATTCCTAACGATACATTCTTTAAACTTACCATTACGAATACCTTCTTAATAGATCAGTTATAAGAAACTCTCCTTTTGAGATTAAAAAGAAAGATGGGATAGAGAAACAACACTTGGGAACTCCAACTAAACTTCAGCTCCTGAACGTTTGGAATGATGATTTTATTTTGCCTCTTTTTTTCACCACCAGGAAGGAATTGAAAGTGTGTTGTGAACTGAAAGAAATCATACCAGAACTCAAGTAGCTGTTGTTAAGTGCCCGAGTTGGTTCTTACTCATAGCGACCCCGTATAGTGTCTAGGATTTCCAAGGAGCAGCTGATGGGTTTGAACTGTCCACTTTGTGGTTCGCAGTCCAGTGCTGATCCTACAGCGCAACACCAGAAGTCCAGAACTAAAGGTAGGCGTATCACCCAAGGCTCACCATTTCCAATGTTCATTTCACCACTGCTTTATTTAAAACAATATGTGAGAATCAGTTCAAGTTTTTAGAAGACTAATCACCTCAACGCAAGCGAGAAGAGCCAGTTACACCCACTACCCAATACACGCAGGAACAGTGCTAGGACCCATCTCCATATGCGGGAGCACCAACAGCCCCTTAGACATGACCGGTTGTGCGTCGGGACGAGAATATACAGTCAAGGCTTGGGAGCCAAGGACGGCCAGAGAGATGCCACAGGTGGCCTGGATGGCTAGTTCCTCACCCTGTAATTCGGTTTCCCCTAAGAAGCCGAAGGAGCTCCCCAGCCTCAACGTGCCCTACTTTAGGGGGAGAAGAGCTCGAGCTAGGTTCAGGTGGCCCCTCTGGGTCCGTTACTGGACACGGAGTATCAGGCTAAGGGCGTCAATTCCGCCCTTCCCTCCTGGCAGGTACTGTATAAAGGGCCAGGGGGCGTTAAACTGAGAGTGGGCAAAGGGGCCCTGGAATGGGAAGCTCTAACCTGCCCCTCCAGGGAGCCTCGTAGTCTGGTACGACCCCGCCTCGGGCACACCGTCCCGCACCTCCTCTTCGGAACCCTTCGGGCACCCAGGGGCCGGCGCCGCCCCGCGCCCCCCGCGCGGCCGCCGCGGCCGGATCTCCCGGACAACAGCCGCCGCCGCGCTCCCGTGGCGGGTCCCGCGCCCACCCGCCGCCAGTCCTTCCCGGGCGCCCACCTGTCCCGGGGGTCGATCCAGCTGGTCCTCCTGGTGTTGTGGTCAATGTAGAAGACCTTGCCGTCGTAGTCCCTGGCCTCCTCCCAGCCCCGGGGTAGCGGCAGCTGCCCGCTCCCAGCCCTCCTAGGCATGGTCGGCGGCCTCGCCGGCGAGCGGCGCCTCCATAGGGACCGGGCGCGGGACGCGGCGGGAACGGGACTGCCCGGCCCGACGCGGGCGCCGGCGAGGGGCTGCGGGCTCGGGCGCGGTGGGGCCACGCGAGGGGGCGGCTCAGGAAGCCCTGCTCTCGGCCCCGCTCGGAATCAGTCCACCATGTCTGCGTCGGAGCAGTAGAGCGAAGCCTCCTCCTCCCAGCCGCCGCCGCCGCTGCCTCCGCCTTTTCCTCCTCCTCCCAGTCCCCCTGTGGCCGCCGAGGGTCCCAGCGCCCAAGCTGCCCGGGCCGCCGCCTTCTGGGCTCGGATCAGAGAAGCTCGGCAGCGCTGCGCAGCAGCTACGGACCTCCTCATTTGCATGTGATTAGCTTGCGCCCGGACCCGCCCCCGGCCGCCCCTCCCCAGGCTCCGCTCATCTGCATGCACATTCCTAGCCGCCACATTCCAGGGCTTAACCCTGTCCCTCCCGGGGCCCCTCTGCTAGGCGGCAGGGAGCGGGGGAGGGGAGCTGATGGGGGAGGGAAGAACCGTGGAATGCAAGGCTCGCTCCCTCCCCTTCGCCCCAAATAGCTCCCTACAGCCAAACGCTTCGGGTTTTTAAAGTTTCGGGACGCAAAAGATTGCAAAAGGGACATCTCCCCAACCTCCTCGACTTCTTTCCGTCTTCCAGGGAAACCACAAGACTTTCGAGAGGAAAAGGGTGGGGGAAACTCTCCTTGGAGGCAGAAGTCCTAGCAAACACTAAGGGCACAAAGGCTCCCCCGAGCCGCGCCCTGCGCCCCTGCGGGACCCGAGTGGCAGGCCGGGGCGGTGAGAAAGTGAGAAGCGCCGGGAGCGTGTCCGTAGCGTGTGCAGGGGCGGCGGCACTCCCGGGGACTTTGCGAGGCGCTTGGCCCTCGTTGACCTCAGCGGAGAGGCCTCGGGACTCGCGGCCGAAGGCGAGGGCGGGGCTCGCGGTCCGGGAGCGTGTCGAGTCTTCCAGCGCACTGGCCCGCAGGGGGACTCCAGCCTGACTCAGAGAGGCCACCAGGCCACCCGCGGCCTCCGCCCGCCGGATCGGTGCGCCTCACCGCGCAGTCCCGACAACCACTGCACAGTTTCTGCCCTTAGACTCTGCTGCAGGGGTTTAGGACAGTTGGACGCGGACGCATCATGTACCTAGACCCATCGGTTCAGCCACCCCACCCTGGGAAGTCCCAAGAGCCCCACTAGGTCTACGAGTAGTCAGCAACCATGAGGAGGGAGGCTGCTCGGAGACCAAGTCTTTCTAGACTCTGGATCTGTCCAGGTGGGAACGTGGATCTTCCCATATTCAACATTTATTGTGCAGCTACTCCGAGCTCGTGGGCACTGCTGGTGGGCACTGAGGCAGAGCTGGACATCGGACTCCGATAGGTCAGAGTCCTGAGCAGCAAGGCTGGCAGGGCCTGAACACAGACTATTCAGTGTCCCTAACTCCAAAACACTTCCAACTCAGTCTACACCACCATCCCTCGTTCATACCCTTCCAGGTTACTAAGCAGCTTCCTTTAAAACTCTCCAGGAAGACTGGATTTCAGTCATTCTCTTCTTAGGGTGAATTTGCTTAATCCTGTCCACTACTGCGTTATGACACGCCAGACAGCTCCACACAAGGACTTTCAGAGCTATTGGAATAACCTCCCACCAATAGCGACCCTGTACAGGGTTTCCAAGGAGTGGCTGGTGAGCTTGAACCGCCAACCTTGTGGTTCAAACTGACTTTGCAGTCCAGCGCATTAACCCACAGTTCCAACACATTAAATCTAATTGTATCCATCTATGAAATGAAGATGACCTTCACATTTAGGTTCTATCTGCAACTAATCACGGGAAAGGTGTAGGACCAGACAATGTTTTGTTCAGGTGAGCAGGAGTTGAGGCCAAATCTATGACCGCTACCAATGGCAATGAGCCATGTATAGTTGTTGTTGTGATGTGCCGTGGAGTCGGTTCTGACACATAGCAATCCTGTACAGGGTTTCCGAGGCTGTAAATCTTTACGAGAGCAGAAAGCCTCTTATCTCTCCCGTGGAACAGCTGGTAGTTTCAAACTGCTCACCCTGAGATTAGCAGCCTGGTTCGTAACCAGTACGCTACCAGAGCCATTGAGCCAATGATAAATAGCAAAAAACTATCTTAGAAGATAATCTTGTTATTTCTAATAGTTAAACATTCTACTAAGAAGTGAATGGTTAGTAGTTTGAATCCATGCAGAAGCTGGGCCTCAAAAGAAAAGCTGGGCAATCTACTTTGGAAAGATAACAGCCATTGAAAATTTTATGGACCACAATTCTACTTGAAATACATTGGGTAGCCAATTGACTGGACTCTACGGAATTAACTTGATGGCAACTGCTTTTTTTTTTAATATAGATAGATGATAGATAGATAGATAGATAGATAGATAGATAGATAGATAGATAGATAGATAGAAACAAACATGAAAGTTTAAAGCAATTCCCATAATATGATATTTACCTGTAGATATTAAAGTTCCTCAAGATTTGCAGATATGTGTCACTTAATGTCCATGATATGCTCTGTGAAATAGGACATTATGAGACTTGGCCATTGTGTAAGCGCCAGACTATATACAGGTAGTACCTGTATAATCCACAATTAAATCCCCATAAAGCATATTATGTTAAAACCTTATGGAAGTCCACCAGACAAAGCCCAAGAACTGAGAGCTGTACTCATTGGACACAATCCTTACTTGGTGATGAACTGGCAGCCCAGGATTTTGTACTCCTCTGAGGACAGTGAGGCAGGGGGAGTGCACAAGAGGGTGAGGAGAAGTGGCCAGAGGCCTGCTTGTGGGTGGTGTCTGCTACCCAGTTGCTTCCTGATCATGTGCAATGTAAATCTTGATCTTGCACAGCCACCACCACCCAAGAGTATCTCAAACTGGTGGGTACCACCAGCCCCATGGCAGGAGCAGAAGACCTTTTATAGGCACTGCCCTGTGACTACAGTAAAAGGTTATAAAACATCAGGACAGGTGGATGGAGCCAGGAGAAGAGGGTGCAAGAGGAAGCTCTGCAGGGATTGGGATGCACCCTGGAACTGCTTCTTCACTAGAGGGTGTTGGGATTTTAAAAAAACATTGTTGTTGTTAAGTGCCACCGAGTCGATTCTGACTCATAGCGACCCTGTACAGGGGGTTCCAAGGAGCTGCTGGTGGATTTGTTTGTAGACCTAATCTCACAGCACCACATCAGGAGTCCCTTGTTAAGTGCTGTCGAGTTGGTTCCAGCTCATAGAGACTCTGTGTAGGGTTTCTGCAGGGGGTTTGAACCATCGACCTTGCAGTTCAAACCAACCTTGAGGTCAAGTGCTTATCATAGGGCGCCACACCAGGACTTCTAGGAGTCCATTGTATTGTTGTCTTTAAGTGCGTCGAGTCAGTTACAACTTGTAGGCCCCCTATATAGAGTTTCCGAGGCGTAGCTGGTGGGTTTGAACTGCTGACCTGTGGTTCGCAGTCCAGTGCTGATCCTACAGCGCCATACCAGAAGCCCAGGAGTCCACTGTTGTTAAGTGCTGTCGAGTTGGTTCTGACTCCTAGCAGCCCTGCATAGGGTTTCCAAGAAACAGCTGGTGAGCTTGAACCATCGACCTTGTGGTTCAAACCAATCTTGCAGTTCAATGCATTAACCTGCAACGCCACACTGTAAGTGGAAGGAGAGCTGCTTTCTCTTTAAAAAACAACAGCAACAACAAACAAACCCTAATGGGACCACAGATGTATATGCATTCAGACATTGCCCAAATAGACGTTAAAGCGATGCATACCTCTACATGGATGTTCGGTGTAGCATATTTTATAATAACAAAACTGGAAAAACCCACACATGTTGATCAGTAAGATGCTGATCAAATAAATTAGAGACATACTCTGCAAGCATTAAAAAGGCATTTGAATTGAACTAACAAAAGAAGACAAAATAGATGATTGGGACATACTAAAAATTAGAAACTTATATGCATCAAAAAATTTCACTAAAAGAGTAAAAAAGGAGCCCACAAAATGGGGGAAAACTTTTGCTACGGCATAGCAGATAAGGCAAGAACTCTGATATTTATAGGAAACTAAAACACCTCCACAAGCAAAAGACAAATAACCTAATTTTAAAATGGGGCCAGGACATGAACAGATACTTCAAGGAAGACATTCAGGCAGCCAACAAACATATGAAGAAATGTTCATGCTCATTAACCATTGGACAGATAGATGCTAATCAAAACAACAATGAAGTATCATCTCTCCCCAGCAATAACAGCAAAGTTCAAACAAGCAGAGGACAATAAATGCTGGCAAGGATGTGGTGGGAATCCAAAATGGTCCAATCACTCTGGAAAACAGTGTGGCGCTTCCTCTGAAAGTTGGAAATAGAAATGCCCTGTGATCCAGCATTTCCTATACTTGGTATATATCCACAAGTAATATGAACCATAACATGAGTATATATATGCACAACAATATTCATAGCAGCACTATTCACAATAGCAAAAAGGTGGAGACAGCCTAAGTGCCCATCAATGAAAGAATGGATAAACAAACTGTGGTACATACACACAATGGAATATTATGCTACCTTGAAGAATAACATGGATGAACCTTGAGGACAGTATGCCTAGTGATACTGTCTTGTTATGTGCCGTGGAGTCGGTTCCGACTCATAGTGACCCTGTACAGAGTTTCCGAGGCTATAAATCTTTACGGGAGCAGAAAGCTTCATTTTTCTCCCGCAGAACTGCTGGTAGTTTTGAACTGCTAACCGTGAGATTAGCAACCCGATTCGTAAGTCAGTCACAAAAGGACAAACGTTGCATAAGACCATTATTGTAAAACCTTAAGAAAAGAAACGCCTACTAAAAGGGGGGCAAAAAAATTCTTTGTTGGTTACCAGGAGTGGGAAGGAGGCAACCATAGAGCACATGGCAGGGGGCAGACA